CTGTGGCTCAAGTGGTAGAGTGCTTGCCTTGAGCTGAAGAGCTGAGGGACAGCGCCCAGGCCCAGAGTTCAGGCCCCACGACCGGCAAAAAACCAGTTGCTGGATGCCAGTGACATGCCTATAATCCTAGCTACCCATGAGGCTGAGATCTGAGGTTCATGGTTCAAAATCAGTCCAGACAGGAAAGTCCATGAGACTTCTTATCTCCAATAAATGACTCAGAAAGTAGCATTGTGACTGAAGTGGCAAAGTGCTAGGCTTAAACAAAAGAATCTCAGGGACAGCTGTTAGGCCCAAAATTCAAGCCCCAGGACTGGCAAAAAGAAAAGAAAAGGTAAATCCAAAGTGGCCCTGTGCAGGAAAAGAAGGAAAGCAAGCCAAGTAACTGACCATGCACTGAGAAGTCCCCCAGCCTATCTCCCAGCACTGTGTCTGTTCCCACTGCTACTCCATGGCCTCACTGCAAATAAGCTGGAGAGGAACACAAGGCCCTGTAAAGAAAAGAACTTAATAGCTCACTAAGGGGTTTTCCTTTGGGAAGAACTATTTTATGGTACTCTTGTGTTTAGATAAAATATAAATCCAGTTTTAACTACAGTTTGTAGAGAAATACTTAGTCATTTAAAACACTACAAAAAATTAAACATTAAACAAAGACCCTCAGAACCAGCAAGATCAAGGTGAAGTTACAGAAAGATTCTACGATGACAAACACCCAAGTACCTGTCCTTATTCCAGGTTCCCCATCACTGTCACACTATTAGTTGTCATCACTACTGTTAAGTTGATGCCAGAAAATAATGTTTCTCACCCATGTATTATGCTAGTTTTCATTTTTCTTTCTGGTGTGAATGTGCTGGGTATTAAATCACCCACACATTTTGATGGTTTACCATGTCTGCCTGCTAATTGTCAGAAAGGAAACAATGTTTGGATACACTTACTGAAAAGTCAACAGGTTATGGATTTAATATTCCTCTATCACCAACAGTATTTCCATTGGATAAAATCTGTAAATACTACTGGCTCAAATAAGAGTGGTACAAATGGCAGATTTTTCATATAAAGCCAACAGACGTAAGAGAAACAATGAGTCTTCAATGGAACACTGGACTGCAGTCCTCATCTTAGATTCATACTCACTGTCTGCATGGCTTGAAAGGGCGCTGTGTTCATGGCTAGTGAACTACTTGCTGGAGGTGACTGGAAGCCCTGTTCAGTGCCCTTTGACACAGGAGGGTTGGGAGACACCAGGCAAGATGGAGGCTTGCTTGGGGGAACTGCAGCCTGGAGAGGAGAAATGCACCATCAGCCAATTACCTGCCATATAACAAGCAATGAACTTACACTCAACCCCAAACTCACAAAAGTCAGCAATTCTTTAGGCTGGCATTTGAATGCAGGAATGCAAGACAATAGCTTTTGCTTGCAATTTCAAATCTCAGTTGCTGAGGAGGCACACTAGTATTTGCTTTGCACGGCTTGCTGACTGAGCCAAAGAGTCTCCCTAATAATCAGTCTAACAAATGAGGGGCTCAACTTTTTACAAGCACCTAGATCTTTCAAATTGTGAAATCCTATTTTTGAATAAAGAATCGAATAGCATTAAAACTTTATCCAACACAATTTGACCTAGGAAATACCTGGGGTTAGAATCCTAAGTGTTACTGTTTAAAGACATCCTAGTGGATTTTTAATTCAGCTGCCAGAAGAAAACCAATCCTGATCTGAGTAATCAAAAAAAAAAAAATCTAGTTGTTGACTTACAGGCATCAAAATCTTAAAAAGATATCAAAATCCAATCCTAATCAGATTATGAAGCAGATAACTGTGAGTCACTAACCAACAATCACTTCCTCCTTTTCTTTAGAAGAACCAGGTTTGTAGGAGAGGAACAAAAAGATGTCCACGTGCCTCTGATCATAAAATAAATACATTGAAAGAATTATTAAGTTAAAAAAGGGCTGCCTCAATTTTGACCAAGTTAGCACCATAAAAGCAAATTATTATTTATGCTTTCTCTTTTTTTTTTTTTTTGGTGGGGGGGTCCGGTCGTGGGGCCTGAACTCCAGGCCTAGGCACTGTCCCTCAGCTCTTCAGCTCAAGGCTAGCAATCTACCACTTGAGCTACAGTGCCACTTCTGGCTTTTTTCTGCTTATGTGGTGCTGAGGAATCGAACCCAGGGCCTCATGTATGCAAGGCAAGCACTCTTCCACTGAGCCACTTTCCCAGCCCCTACTTTTTTTTTTTTTGGGGGGTCCGGTTGTGGGGCCTGAACTCTGGGCCTAGGCAGGCACTGTCCCTCAGCTCTTCAGCTCAAGGCTCGTGCTCCACCACTTGAGCCATAGCGCCACTTCCGGCTTTTTTCTTATGTGGTGCTGAGGAATCGAACCCAGGGCCTCGAGCATGCAAGGCAAGTGCTCTACCACTGAGCCACCTTCCCAGCTCTATGCTTTCTTATAGTCTAGAAATGAATACATATTCATATACAATAGTTCATCCCAAAGCAAAACCTAATTCTTGCTAAATTGTCCTCCAAAATTCTCAAGACTTTGCTCAAATGGCAAAAACTACAAAAACAGCTCTGAGCACCTGTGGCTTATGCCTAAAATCGTAACTACTCAGGAGGCTGAGATCTGAGGATCACAGCAAAGTTAGCCTGGGCAGGAAAGTCCATGAGATTTTTTTTTTTTTTTTTTGGGTCAGGTCGTAAGGCCTGAACTCTGGGCCTGGGCGCTGTCCCTCAGCTCTTCAGCTCAAGGCTAACACTCTACCAATTGAGCCACAGCGCCACTTCTGGCTTTTTTCTTTTTGCTTATGTGGTGCTGAGGAATCGAACCCAGGGCCTCAGGCATGCAAGGCAAGTGCTCTACCACTGAGCCACCTTCCCAGCCCCAGTCCATGAGATTCTTATCTCCAATTAACCACCAAAAACTAGAGTTGTGGCTCAAGTGGAAGAGCTATAGCCTTGAACAAAAAAAGCTCAGGGACAGAGCCCAGGATATGAGTTCAAGTTCCAGAATACACATGTGCATGCACACACACACAGAACTAAAAGCATGACTAATAACTGCCAAAGTGCTTTTTGAAAAGACTTAACAGAGACTAATTCTAACTGAATTAATATTAATACTATAAAAGTTAAGACATCAGTTATATTTCTAAGAGATTTTTCTCTTAAGTATTCCTTCAGTATTGTACAATGAGAAAACTTGACTTAGTCTTACCTACAATTTTGCACTTTTTCCTTTTAAAAATCAACATATATTACATATGTGAAGGTAGTAAGTAAATATAAATCTACTTATATGGCACAGCCACGATAAAGTACCCTGTATAAGTCTTGGAAGACCAATATATATAGAAAGTAATATATAATCAATACAAATACTACATCATTCAACTTATCATGCCTATAATTCATAAGACAGTTCTACTTTATTTTGGGGGGGAAGAGAGAGGGTTGGTCATGGGGCTTGAACTTAGGGTCTGGGAGCTGTTCCTGAACTTTTGCAATCAAGACTTAGCACTGTAACCTACCAAGCCATATTAGGTTTTCTGGTTAATTGGAGATAAAAGTCTCACAGGCTTTCCTGCCACAGCTGGTTTCAAACTGTGATCCTCAGATCTCAGCCTCCTGATTACAGGCATTAGTCACCAGCACCTTATTGATTCTTTTAGATAGGAAAGAAATGAAGACAATTGCTTGCCCATGTAATTGTAACCCCTCTGTATGGTATTTTCACAATAATAAAAAAAAAAATGAAGACAATTGGTATTTAAGTACCTTAGCAGTCTGTGAGGTCATAAAATCTGCTTCAGATCCTGATGAAGCCTGATTAGTCATCAACAAGCAAGCATCTGAACCACAGGTAACTGGAGAAGTGGCCTATACACAGGAAGTTATACATTGTAAAAGGCATGTTTTCTTTATTTTTATTTTTTTGTGCCAGTTCTAGGCTTGAACTCAGGCCCTGGTAGCTGTCCCGTTTGTGCTCAAGGGTGGCACTCTGCCACTTGAACCACAGCTCAAGGACAACATCCAGACCCGACACACACACACACAGTAATGACCAGAAGGCCCCCAGGCCCGACACACACACACACACACACACAGTAATGACCATAAGGCCCCCAGGCCCAACACACACACACACAGTAATGACCATAAGGCCCCCAGGCCCAACACACACACACACACACACTAATGACCAGAAGGCCCCCAGGCCCAACACACACACACACACACACACACACACACACACACACACAGTAATGACCATAAGGCCCCCAGGCCCAACACACACACACACACACACACACACACAGTAATGACCATAAGGCCCCCAGGCCCAACACACACACACACACACACACACACAGTAATGACCATAAGGCCCCCAGGCCCGACACACACACAGTAATGACCATAAGGCCCCCAGGCCCAACACACACACACACACACACACACACACACACACACACACACAGTAATGACCAGAAGGCCAGGGAACCTAGGGCATGTGATGTGGCAGTCAGAGATCTCAATAATTGGGTCCCTTTGGTGGGTTTTGTTTTGTTTTGCCAGTCCTGGGGCTTGAACTCAGGCCTAGGTGCTATCCCTGAGCTTTTTCGCTCAAGGCTAACACTGTACCATTTTGAGCCAAAGTACCACTTCTAGTTTGGTGGTTAATTGGAGATAAATGTCTCCTGGACTTTCCTACCCAAGCTGACTCTGAACCACAATCCTCAAATCTCAGCCTCCCGAGTAGCTAGGATGACAGGTATGAGCCATTGGTGCCAGGCTGTCCCATTGGGTTTCTTTTTTTTTGTGCGGGGGGGGTCCGGTCATGGTGCCTGAACTCTGGGCCTGGGCGCTGTCCCTCAGTTCTTCAGCTCAAGGCTAGTGCTCTACCACTTGAGCCATAGTGCCACTTCCAGCTTTTTTCTTTTTGTTTATGTGGTGCTGAGGAATCGAACCCAGGGCGTCAGGCATGCAAGGCAAGCTCTCTACTACTGAGCCACCTTCCCAGCCCCCCTTTGGGTTTCTAAGCACACTCTGTAAAGCATAGTTTCTCAGATTGTTAATTCTTATGAGGATGAGGGAGGAACTAGTTAACTATAGACTATAGAATTAGTTTCTTTTTTCAGACCCTTTCCTGTGCTAATAGACTAGGTGACTTTCTAGCACAACAACAATATTTTAGACAAGGCACCTATTCTTCAGGGTTGCTCTTTCCTTACTAATTTAGATAACCTTTCCTTTTATAACCAATTTTTGCAACAGAAGTCATCATATAACATTTTTAGGGCCACTTGTTTTTAATTTGAAACACTATTCTTTTCTATTAAAAAAATTTTTGGGGGGCTGGGAAGGTGGCTCAGTGGTAGAGCGCTTGCCTTGCATGCTTGAGGCCCTGGGTTCGATTCCTCAGCACCACATAAGCAAAAAGAAAAAAGCCAGAAGTGGCGCTGTGGCTCAAGTGGTAGAGCGCTAGCCTTGAGCTGAGGGACAGCGCCCAGGCCCAGAGTTCAGGCCCCACGACCGGACCAAAAAAAAAAAATTTTTTTTTGGACTGGGAATGTGGCTTGGTGGTAGAATACTTGCCGAGCATGCAAGAAGCCCTGGGTTCAATTCCACAGCACCACATAAACAGAAAAAAAAACAGAAGTGGAGCTGTGGCTCAGATGGCAGAGTGCTAGCCTTGAGCAAAAGAAGCTCAGGGACAGTGCCCAGGTCCTTAGCTCTTTTGCTCAAGGTTAGAACTCTATCACTTTGAGCCACAGCTCCACTTCCTGAAATACCAGATATTCTTAGAACACTTTTACCAAGTCAATTAGATATATTAGAACCAAAAAGTCAAGTTCATTCTTGCCAAAGCAAGAGTCCCTCCATGGATAGCAAAGAGTAAATGAAAGGCAATCCAGAGAAGTTACCTTTAATGGCTCTTGAAGAAAGTCATTTGGACTGGACACATTTTGTTCTGTAGATACTGTAGGATGAAATAACCAAGGGAGAAAAGTCAATGGACATTAATGGGAAGAAAGTGAAGTTTACATTGTCAAAGGAAGCACTGTGCGAAGAACTAGGTCATAAGCCCCACCATATACTTTCTATGAGAGCCCAAGAATTCTTCATTTGTGCAGATGGTACAGGAGTGGGAAAGACCAAGTCTACCTGTGATAGGTGTGATGTTTTAATGTGACATGGGTGAAAGGCTTCCAAAAGAAAAACAAAACAAAACAAAACTGCCTTTTAAATATAACGTGCTGGGTACTCGTGGCTCAGGTCTGTAATCCTAGCTACACAGGAGGCTCAGATCTGAGGATCACAGTTCGAAGCCAGACCAGACAGGAAAGTCCATGAGACTCTTATCTCCAATTAACCACCAGAAAACCAGAAGTAGCGCTGTGGTTCAAGTGGTAGAGTGCTCGCCTTGAGCTGAAGAGCTCAGGGACAGCACCAAAGCCCAGCATTCAAGCCCTACAACCAACATAAATAAATAAAACTGGTAACACTGGTAAAACTGAGAGAGAAAATCTGAGGTGCCAGGAGTAGTTATTAACTAATAAGTTTCACAATTAAGTCTTAGCTGGGTCATCTAGGGTTTCTTTCTCTCTGACTATGTTTATTAACAGGCTTTGCAATTAACCACATAGTTTTCAGTTCTGTTTCTTTCAACATCCATCACTTCTGTTACATAATCTCTAGGAATAATTACTGCACCAGTCTTGTGTTGGTGCTGACTGCCCACACAGCTGGACTATGGCTATGGTTCAAGCCCCACTTGCCTAAGAAAAGCTGGCATGTGCAGAAAGCCTAGGCTGTGAAGCACCCCACTAGATTCCCATCCATGCTGCATCATCAGTGACTATATTAATCTCTGCTTTGAGGTAATCTTACTCACAGTGAGGATCCACAAGCCTTCATACTAGATTTAGAAACCAAGAGAGTCAAAAAAAGTTCTAGTCAGAAATCACTGCAAGGGCATTTTTTTTTAACTGCAGAAACAGCTATGGGCATTTTTATTTACAGATTTGCTCCAATAAATGCAAAAAGGTCAGTTTAAGCCATTACTGCCTAATGGCAACTTACCTAGTGATGGCAGAGAGACAGGCACAATGAATAAGTTAATACAGAGGCTACTAGTTCAAGCTATCTACAGTGAATGATTTGTAAAGGAAACAACTGTTAGCTATGGAAGTGGAGCTATGGCTCAAGTAATAGAGTACTACCCTTGAGCAAAAAAGCTCAGAGACAGATCCCAGGCCCTGACTTCAAGCCCCAGGACCAGAACAAAAGAAAGAACAACTACAAGCTCTAAAGCTGTTTGTTCTATGTCTCCAATGATTACATACCTAATGGGCTACCTGGCGGAGCTGATGGCGGCTGGGATGGAATTGCACTTGACGGTTTGTCAAAGTCCAGAACAGACTCCTAGTCACAAGATTTTAAATTGTGAGGATGAACAAAAACTACTCGGTTTAAAAGCTATTATCATTGTTATTCATGGAATTACTCTTAGGTTATTAGTTGGAAGTATCTGGCTAAAGTGTAGGTAAGTAGCTATTAACTATCTCAAGATGTTACTTTACTCAAGATATTAACTTACTTAAGAGTCAAAATTAAACTCTAAGCTGGATACTGGTGGCTCAGGCCTGTAATCCCAGCTACTTAAGAGGCTGAGATTCAGAAGAAGCCAGCCTGGCAGCAAAATCTATTTCATCTGCAAAATAACCAGCAAAAAGCTGTACAAGTCAGGTGCTGATAGCTACTCAGGAGGCTGAAATCTGAGGACTGAAGTTAAAAGCCAGACCAGGCAAGAAAGTCCATTAAGACTCTTGTCTCCAATTAACCACCAGAAAAATGGGAAGTGGCACTGTGGGTCAAGTGGTAGAGCGCTCACTTTGAGCTCAATTGCTGAGGGACAGTGCCAATATCCAGAGTTCAAGCCCCACAACCAACCAAAAAAAAAAAAAAAGCTGTTCAAGTGTAGAGTGCCAGTCGGGAACAAACAAGCAGAGCCAGCACAAAGCCAGCATAGTTCAAACCCTAGTATCAGCACAAAAACTTTAAAGTAACTGTCATACCTTAAGGTTGAATTAAAACCATAATAGCAATCTGAAGGCCTAACTTTGGAAAGTCATTCCTGATCTGAGGTCTTAAGCATAAAAGCATTAATCCTAGTCTAGTCTGAACTTTGATTTCTACTACACCCAATTATCTATCTCAACCATTCACTGGATTGTGCTGTTAAACATTTTTATAATGAGAAAGCATTCTCTTCTCCTGTCTGTACATCTTGCTTCTTTCAGAGAAACCTTCCATATTTCACTTACTTATGTTATATACTTATAGTGAGCATTTTAGTTCTTTAAGAAATATATAATGTGTTTGCAAATAAACAAGGTTGGGAGTTAAATAACTCATCTTGAATATAGCTGGCAAGTGACAGGAATAGAATTTAATTCCAGTCCTAAATCAAAAGCAAAAATTTGTTATTCCCTTAAAAATATATTCTTTGACTATTTCAGCCCTTCATAAATATCACACTATTCTGTAATTCTGTTAAGAGTCTGTATGACACAGTTTAAACGTACGTTCACACTATTTCAGCATTTAACTATTGATTTTGTGCAAGCTTACAACCTGCTATGTCTGGATGCATGTTACATCCCTGGATGTATTCCAGTCTTCAATGCATGGAAGACAAGACAGGAGCAGGTTCTCAAAAGCTCTGTACAACTACTGATGACCTATGGCAGGAATCATGCTTGAAGCACTTTCCATGTTTACTTCGCATCTTTACTCATGACACTCAGAAAGTAGTGACTATTATCTTAATTTTTCAAATAAAAAACTGAGGCACAGGGTAAGTTACTTGCTCTGGGAGCTAGGGGCCAGCAGAACCAGGACTCTTGCTCATTTGGACAGTGGAATCCATGTGCTTAACAATTTCACTGTACTGCTTGCTTCAGTTAGAAGTTAGTAGCTCCATGAATATCACTTAAGAATCTCTTTAAAAACAGCTCATACTTGCATAAAGTTACAAGTTCCTTGAATCTGGGTCATCAGATCCTGCAGTTTTTCTTTCCTCAGTATTGGATCCTTTGGAAGGGCAGAGGAAGAACCTACAGGCTGAGGCACTGGCTTAGGCACCTACAAGACAAACCCACCATGTGTAAGAGTGAAATTCAAAGTCAACAGCCTACGTCAGGAATCTTAGGTTACCATCACATCTTAATGACACTAAAACAGCAAGGATCATTTGCTACAACTATCACAGGTAAAGAGTTTCCACATAAAGGCATTTCTTGCTGGCTGTGCCTCACACCCTTTATCCTTGTTACTCAGGGAGGCATCTGAGATCAGGAGGATCTAGGTTTTAAAGCCAGCCAAAGCAAGTTTGCCAGACTACTTCTCAACCAATAAAAAACTGCAAATAATAGCATACACCTTCACTTCAGCTATGTGAAAAGCAGGAATAGGAGGACCACAGACCAGACCAACTCAGGCAAAAAGTCAAGACCCTTTAAAAAAAAATGGAAAAAAAAAAAGAGAGAGCAAGAGTCATGGCTCAACCAGTAGAATGCCTGCTGGGCAAGCACAAGGTTCTGAATTAAAACCCTAGTGCTGAGGGGGGGAAAAAAAAGCATTTTTAAATAATTTCAGTTTTTCCTGTTCAGAGTAGCTTTTTTTAATGTAAAACAAATCTTCCTAAAATTAAAATATTCTTTTTCTAAAAGAAAGATGTTCAAAATAGAACTCCCTTGTTAAAAGAGTGTTTTCATAAAACTCCCTTGAATTATTATTGTATGCTATTTTTAAAATAAGCACAAAAAGCCGGACACCAGTAGCTCATGCTACTCAGGAGGCTGAGACCTGAGGATTGTGGTTCAAAGCCAGACCGGGCAGGAAAGTCCTTGGACTTATCTCCAATTAACCACTTAGAAAACTAGAAGTGGCACTGTGGCTCAAGTGGTAGAGCACTAGCCTTGTGCCTAAGGGCTGAGGGACAGCACCCAGGCCCAGAGTTCAAGCCCCACAACAGACAAAAAACCCCACAAAAATTAGTAAAAAAGCCAAGTGCCAGGAGGCTGAGACCTGAGGACTATAGTTCAAAGCCAGTCAGGGAAGGAAAACCCATGAGACTCTCATCTCCAATGAACATTCAAAAAAGCTGGACATGGATGTATAGCTCAAATGGTAGAGTTCTATCCTTGAGCAAAAAAGCTCAGGGACAGTGCCAGGCCCTGAGTTCAAGCCTCAGAACCAACATCAAAAAGAAAGAAAAAGAAAACAAAGAAACATTTTAATAGTATTTTTATTACTGATATTGGTTACCATATTTTCTCTATGATAAGATGCACCAATCATCTTGATTTTCCCCAAGGCAAAAATACCATTACATTAAACATACATCCCATCTTTAAGATGTACATAATTCAAAAACATTAAGATGTATGTATATATAAGTATACACAGACACATAAGACAAAACATACACATGCTTTGAATTAAGAAGATAAATTATTACATTTTGTTAAAAATTACACTCTTGGGGGCTATTACATTTATAAAGTGCTTAGCTCTCATGCTAAAAGTTGTTGTATATCTCTAATTTAAAAACCTACAATACTACGATTTACAATCACTTCTCAGAGCCATCAGCATGCCTGTCTTCATCAGTATCTCTTCACAAGTGCCAGATAAACATCTGGGCCTGTAAGATGGCCTCTCTGGGGAGAAAAGTACTACCTGTAGTGGTTAAGTCTTTTGGATTTGAACTCTATTGTGTCCTAGATTATAATCATATTCTAGGCAAAGGGAGACTGCAAAGGCATACAAAAACTGCATTAGTAACTCTGTCCTCTGAGACACACACACACACACACACACACACACACACACACACCTATGACAAATTATAATGCTCTCTTTGCCATAAAGGTGAATTAAATATGAATTTCAACCTTTCCAACTAAGCACCCCTAATTTAAATCCCACCCAATACATAGAATGTCATCAATATTCTAGAATGGTAAAGGAGTTTTCGAACAGTTTTCTTGAGGTATTAAACTGGGTTTTTCAATACGTTTGTCAAAAGTTATCACTCTACAATTACTATTGCAATGGTATTTAATGAGTTAAATGTGACTATCAATCTTCTAAAGGGTATAGAAGATAAATTAATATTAGGACTTGAAGAAAAAGAGAGGTAAGGGTGAACCAAAAAGAGAAGAATACATTGCTTGGAATCCTACCATTCAGGGGAGTGAGGCAGAAGGATCCTAAGTTCACAAAGTTGAGGCCAGCCTGGACTATACAGCAAGACAAGTGTCTTAAAAAAATTCATGGGCTGGAGCCGGGCGCTGGTGGCTCACGCCTGTAATCCTAGCTACTCAGGAGGCTGAGATCTGAGGATCGCAGTTCAAAGCCAGCCCGGGCAGGAGAGACCTGAGACTCTATCTCCAATAAACCACCAGAAAACCAGAAGTGGCACTGTAGCTCAAGTGGTAGAGCGCTCGCCTTGAGCTGAAGAGCTGAGGGACAGCTCCCAGGCCCAGAGTTCAAGCCCCACGACCAACAAAAAAAAAAAAAATTCATGGGCTGGGAATGTGGCTTAGTGGTAGAGTGCTTGCCTAGCATGCATGAAGTTCTGGGTTCAATTCCTCAGCACCACATAAACAGAGAAAGTCAGAAGTAACACTGTGGCTCAAGTGGTAGAGTTATAGCCTTGAGCAATAGAAGCTCAGGGACAGCGCCCAGGCCCCGAATTCAAGCCCCAGAACTGGCAAAACAAAAATTCATAGAACATTTTTCATAGGAATTTTTCTTTCTTCAAGGCAAAAATGAGCTAAAGGTAGTTTAGTTATAAAACATAATGCTTTGCTTTCCCCAAGCAAAATGATTCCTCTCATTGGTAGAAGACAAAAGACTTAGAAATCCACTGGCTAATATGGCACAGAAATATAACTCAGGAACTGGTTGCCAGTGGCTCATGCCCGAATTCCTAACTACCGAGGAGGCTGAACTCTGAGAATGGCAAATTGAAGCCAGCCTGTGAAGCAAAGTGGTGTGAGACTCATCTCCAATTAACCACCAAAATATCAGAAGTAGATCTGTGGGTCAATTGACAGAGCATTAGCCTTGAGTGCAAAAACTCAGGGACAGTGCTCAGGCCCTGAATTCAAGGCCCAGGACTAGCTTCAAGGCCCAGGACTAGAACTGACACACACACAGGGAAGGAGAAGAGAAAGGAAGAGAAAAAGGGAAAGGGGAAGGAGAAAGAAAGCTGCCAGGTGCTGGTGGCTCAAGCCTGTAATCCTACATACTCAAAAGACTGAGATCTGAGGATCATGGTTCAATGCCAGCCCTGGGAGGAAAGTCTAGGAGACTCTTATTTCCAATTAAAAGGCAAAAATCTGGAAGTAGAACTGTGACTCAAGTGGTAGAGTGCCAGCCTTGAGCAAAATATCTAAGTGAGCTGGGCAATGATAGCTTATGCCTATAATCCTAGCTACTCAGAAACTTGAGATCTGAGGACCACAGTTCAAAGCCAGTTCTGTCAGGAAGTTTATGAGACTCATCTCTCATTAACCACCTGAAAACTGTAAATGGAGCTGTGGCTCAAAGTGGTAAAGCACGAGCCTTAAGTGAGAGAGCCCAGGCCCTGAGTTCAAGCACTACAATAAAAATAAAAATAGGGGCTGGGAAGGTGGCTCAGTGATAGAGCACTTGCCTTGCATGCATGAGGCCCTGTGTTCGATTCCTCAGCACCACATAAGAAAAAAGAAAAAAGCCAGAAGTGGCGCTGTGGCTCAAGTGGTAGAGCGCTAGCCTTGAGCTGAAGAGCTGAGGGACAGCTCCCACGCCCAGAGTTTAGGCCCCATGACCGGACCCAAAAAAAAAAAGTAAATACATAAATAAATAAACAAAACTTTTATAATTGTAGACATTTCATCAAGGTAGACTAAAGATACATTGCACTGAAACTTCCAGTGTTCTATGGAAAACAATAAATCTAACCCTAAGAGTTAAGTATATTACATTAATTTTATATAGGTCTTATTGTGGATATGAAAAGAGAACTAGAAAGTTACTATTAACTCCTAGTAGGCCTATACTGACAGCAGACATTTGAATCTACTCACATCTTTGGGTTCTGTATTCATCTTCCCGGGCAGGAGCTGATCATTTGGTAGGCCTGCATTGGCTGCACCCCAAGGCTGTGGAGAATGCGGTGACTGTGGTGTTCCAGTGTGTTTTTGACTCTCAACACTGTCTTCCCAGGATTTGGGAGTCCCTGGCTGTTTTGAGTCCTGCTCTTTGCCTTTGGGAGTAGCCCACGACTTGCTGACATTCTGTTCACTCTGCAGGGAGGATGTCCAGGACTTTGGAGTCTGTTTCTTTGGCTCTTGTTCTTTCTGCAATGGAATGGCCCAAGGCTTTGGTGTCTCCAGCCTCTTCTGCTCCTCTTCAGGGCGTCCTGTTTCAGAGTTTGGGGTTTCTTGCTTCCACTGGCTGGGAGGTGGCTTGGGCTTGGAGATCTCCTGCTGCTGCTTCTGTCCTTCCTGCACAGCCGACCTGAGCTTGGGAATCTCTTGTTTCCTCTGTTCTAAGGAACCCTGGTGCTTTGCAGGAGGCTCCCAGGACTTTAAGGATTCCTGTGTCTTCTCTTGAACATCTGGTTGACTAAGCATATCCCAACATTTAGGGAGATTTGGTTTCTTAGCAAAATCTGCTTCCCAAGATCGCTCCTCATCATGTTTGTTCAAATAATCTATTTCTGTCATGTAGCGTCTGTTCAAAAACTTAACCAGAAAAATAATTACTTGAGTCATAGGATTTATAGACCTTATATGTTCAGTCTATTCATATTAATGTATCCATTGGCCTGAGCTACTATGCAGACATGAAGCTTTTGTCTTTATCTAATTGAAAATACTCACTGACTTCTTGTCCCTTTCTTTTCCTCTCAATTCACAGAAATAAAATTTTGACACTTCAAAAGCAGCAATTTATGGTTTAACTTACTACTACTAACTGCACAGTATGGTACCACAACTGTTTGATTTAGACCTGTAATTTACCCGGACTATTTTGCCTTTGCCAGCCATAGGACCTTTCACCTACTTAACTCCCTCACAAATTACAGCACAGGACAGTTCAAACTCAGGAAGTTATACTGTTTAGTTTTATTATGAGCTTTTTCTTTTCTTTTTTGTGCCAGTATTGAGGCCTGCACTCAGGGCCTCATACTCTTGTTTAGCTTTTTCACTCAAGGAGAGTATTCTACTATTTGAGTCACAGCTTTACTTCTGGCTTTTTGGAAGTTAATTGGAGATAAGTGTTTCAGGAAGTTTCCTGAACCAGCTGGCTTCGAATAGTGATTCTTAATTCTCAGCTTTTTGAGTAGCTTGGATTGCAAATGTGTGTGTCACTGGTGCCAGGATAAGAGCCTTTTCTTTATTTCTGTTATATATCAATTATTTCTCCCATTCTTTCCAGCTTCCACAAATTTAGTTAGAAAAAGAGCAAATATACTCTTCTCCTGCCAGTATGAATAAACTCCAAAGATTAAAATCCTGCACATCCTTAAATCCTAACATAGGCTTCAAAACAATATAACAAACAATACAATGTCATTATATGTCAGACCAAAAATCTAAGTAACTTAGGTTAACAGCTTTAAACTTTATAATAACCCCATCAAGCAGATATTATTAATATGCTCATTTTAGGTATGCAGATAACAGACAGTGGGCTGTCTTGCCCAAAGTCATGTTAGGACATAAGCAAGCTCATGCAGTCTGGCTCCAGAGCCTCATCTCCCTTCCACAGCACTGCACACAAGTCTGAGAAAATACCAGCTGCCAATGGCCTCCCAGCCTCTTACCTCCTGCGGTTGTATCGCTGGCTCTGGAAGTTCCATAAGACACTCTGAAAGGTAAGACAACATTCAATAATACTGGCTAATTACAAGTTTTTAGATGGACTACAACTGGGTTCATTCCAGGAATACATTTCAGGGGATGTGATAATGTAATTAAGTGCATTTATTGCAGAGCAATTGCTAACAATTGCCTATTGGTCAAAATCATGTAAAAGGGCTGGGTTGGAGCTCAGTAGTAGAACTTCTCCAGTATGCACAAGGCCTTGGTTTAATCCCCCTTACTGCAAAATAAAAGAAAAAGCACTAGGCTGAGGGTCACTGAATCAAATGTTTCTCCTATGTTTTTGTCAGTCATGGGGCTTAAACTCTGGCCCTGGGCACCTTCCCTCAGCTCTTCAGCTCAAGGTAAACGCTCTACCACTTGAGCCACAGCGCCACTAAATGTCTCTCTTATGTATGACACTTGTGAGTTATGGGTGTGGCTCAAGTGGTAGAAGGCCTGCCTAACAAGCACAAAGCCCCAAATTCAAACTCCAGTACTACCACATAAAAAAAAAAATCCAAAAAGCAACATACATACATGCAAAACAAAAAACAACACTAAGGTCAAGTTCTCGCTACAAATTTATTCTTCTGAGATAGGGTCTTCCTGTAGACCAGACTTGTGCCAAACACATGATCCTCCTACTCCAGCCTCCAGAGTGCTGGGATTACATTGACTGTGCCATCATACATAGCTAATCAATTTATTCTTGTTCAAAAATTAAGATTATTTTCTCCTACCAACAAACATTGCTTTATTAAAACTGAAATTTTAGCCAAGTGCCAATGGTTCACACTTGTAATCCTAACTACTCTGGAGGCTGAGATATGAGGATTACAGTTTGAAAACAGAAAAGTCCCTGAGGTTCTTATGTCCAATCAACCTGGAAGTAGAGCTGTGGCTCAAATGGTAGAGCACTGGCCTTGAGCAAAAAAGCTAAGTGACAATGCCCAGGCCCTAAGTTAAAGCTCAGTACTAGCAATAAATAAGTAAGTAAATTTAGAGCTCAGATCTCATGACACAATAACTAGTCATCTCAACTTGAAATAGAGCCTTTTAAAACCTCTTTTTTTTGGGGGGGGGCAGCCGTGGGGCCTGAACTCTGGGCTTAGGTGCTGTCCCTCAGCTCTTCAGCTCAAGGCTAAATAAATAAAAATTTTAAAATAAACAAATAATTAAATAAAGCCTCTACCAAGCCAGATTAACATCAGGAAATGCTTAAGAGAAAGGTAAACAGAGGAACAGACTTTACCTGAAGCCCTGCCTTGTTTACCTCTATAGAAAGATTATTTCTTTTTTTTTGGTTCCGGTCGTGGGGCCTGAACTCTGGGCCTGGGCTCTGTCCCTCAGCTCTTCAGTTCAAGGATAGCACTCTACCACTTGAGCCACAGAGCCACTTCCGGCTTTTTTTCTTTTTGCTTATGTGTGCTGAGGAATTGAACCCAGGGTCTCAGGCATGCAAGGCAAGCGCTCTACCACTGAGCCACCTTCCCAGCCTGAAAGATTATTTCTTTAGTAAATCCAACCCAATAAATAAAAAGCAAAAATTCTGCTTAAAGTATTTCTTTTCCGGGCTGGGAAAGTGGCACAGTGGTAGAGTGATCGCCTTACACGCATGAGGCCCTGGGTTCAATTCCTCAGCACCACATAAACAGAAAAAGCCGGAAGTGATGTTTTGGCTCAAGTGGTAGAGCTGCTAGCCTTGAGCTGAAGAGCTGAGGGACAGCACCCAGGCCCAGAGTTCAGGCCCCATGATCAGCAAAAAAAAAAAAAAAAGTATTTCTTTTCCAAGAAAATGATAATTGTGAAAATTCCTTTCCTAACTTTTTCCCCCCTACATCACCACACTAACCTTATGTTACTTACATTCTCACCCTACAACAGGATTTGATTCTACCATACCTTACATTTAAACTACAGGTTTTTTTTTGGGGGGGGAATGTTAGGGGTTTTTTTTGCTGGTTGTGGGGCCTGAACTCTGGGCCTGGGTGCTGTCCGTTAGCTCTTCAGCTCAAGGCTAGCGCTCTACCACTTGAGCCACTTTCCCAGCCCCTAAACTACAGTTTTAAATGGAATTATCTTACAATAGGTTTAACAGTTCATTCAGATTTCGCAAATGTCTCACTTGGGACTAATGTAGTTTCTCAGAAAAAAAAATAACCTAATGTTTCTATTAGGCTTCACTCTGAATTCTAACCAAAAAAAAAAAAGAAGAGTGGCTCCTAAACCTAGGTTTATCTTGCAGCAAGTAATAATTTCCATGCATCTAGAATCCAACAAATTAAAATCATGACTGTTTAAAAATGCAGTGTTGGGGCTGGGAAGGTGGCTCAGTGGTAGAGTGCTTGCCTTGCATGCATGAGGCCCTGAGTTCGATTCCTCAGCACCACATATGCAGAAAAAAGCAGGAAGTGGCACTGTGGCTCAAGTGGTAGATTGCTAGCCTTGAGCAGAAGAGCTGAGAGACAGCACCCAGGTCCAGAGTTCAGGCTCCAAGACCAACCATCAATCAATCAATCAATCAATATGCAGTGTTAAAGAGGGTGAAAGAGGATGAATAGTCAAAATACACTGCATGAAAATAAAACAAGCAACACTCTGAAACTGTATTAGGAAGGAGGAGGGGGTAAAGAAGGGTGATGGGTAAGCAGATAGATTAGAATACATTATACATATGCATGCAAATCCATGAAATCCCCCTTGTATAACTAATTGTATGCTAAGTTTTTAAAGCAGGTTAAAAATGTAACAACTAAAGAATTTCAGAGATTACAACAAACCTGGCTCTTTGATAGATTCAGTCTTCAATAATTGTTTTTTCTTTTTTGACTGTATTAGCATATCTTCCTCTAAGGACACTTCTTTTTCCTTAGAATTTTGGGGAACTGGAATGCTTTCAAAATAACCTGAGTTCAGCAACTGAGACAGTAGCTCTTTCACATGTTTGTCTAAGAAAAGAGTGATTAAAAGTTATCATATAATCAAATAGTTTATTAAAATTCTAAGATCTAGAAATCCTTATTTTGTCTGGCTAGTTATACTTAATCCTTAGTATACCTTATCCTTATTTTATCCTAATTATAGTATATAGTTTACAATGGAGAGACTTGGAATAGTAAGTACCATGAAAAGCTAATGGTAGTCCATCTTTATTTGATGCTGCAGCAACTTAAACTTTAGAAGATAAGATCTCAAAACTGAGCAAATAACTTAAGCTTATCTGGGCCTCCATTTCTTTTTCTTTTTTATTATGAAAATACTGTACAGAGGGGTTACAATTACATGGGCAAGGTAAACTCCATTTCTACTATTTGAAAATGACTAAACAAATATCAGAGCACCTAATCAGAGTGTCACAGAAGAGTACGCTGGTTCCCTGGGCTGAGAGAGAGAAGGCACTTTTCTCATCTACCCCTCAAACATTGTAATTAGCTACTATTCTTCCTTATTAATTAAGGCTTTGGTAAAGGAAAAGTTAATTCCTCAAACATAACCCATTCAAATCAATCTCTTAAGTTGTTTCTTGCTTTGTTTGAGGCAGTAACTGGGGTTTGAACTCAGGGCCAAGAACTTGGTAGGCAAGACTCTAATACTCCGACCTCTACTTCCCAAGTGGCTGGAATTACAGGCATAGAGTCACCATTCCAGGACCTTAAGTATATTTAAAACATTTTTTATTAAATTTATTTTATGATTATGTGGTACTAAGAAATTAAACCCAGGGCCTTATGCATGCTAGGCAAGCACTTTACCACTAAGCCACATTCCCAGCCCCTTAAGTATCTTTAAACTACATAATTTAAACCAGATGCTGGTGGCTCATGCTTGTAATCCTAACTACTCAGGAGGCAGAGATCTTAGGATCACAGGTTCAAAGCTAGCCCAAACAGGAACGACTATGAGACTCTTATTTCCAATTAACTACTACCAAAAAAGCTGGTAGTGGGTCTGTGGTTCAAGTCGTAGAGCACTAGCCTTAAACAAAAAAGCTCAGGGACAGTGCCTAGGCCCTGAGTTCAAGCCCCAGGACCAGCACAAAAAAAAAATAAATTTAAAAATCCATAATTAAATATTTTACTTGAGTTAAGCTTGATGTCACTCCTAGCACATCACCATTAGATGATCAAGAAAAATCTTAAGTTGCTATTAAAGTTGCTATACTACAAAATACAGGTCTAAAGACTATTTCATTTTAAATATCCAGTAAAAACATAATTCTCAAACTAAGCAGTCATCATAACTTAATTTTACTATTATTTCTTTAAAAGACAAAATTTACTTTTTTTTTTTTGGGGGGGGGTCTGGTTAAGTGGTAGAGCGCTAGCCTTGAGCTGAAGAGCTGAGGGACGGCGCTCAGGCCCAGAGTTCAGGCCCAACGACCGGACCAAAAAAAGAAAAAAAAAAAATCCAGAAGGGAAGCTGTGGCTCAAGGGTAGAGTTCTTTCTTATCTTTTCTTTTTGGAGACACTATTCCTTATAGCCTTAAACTCCTCATCTCAAGCAATCCTTCTGCTTCCTCAGTAACTGGGAACATAAGTACACTTGTGATTTACATGTAAAACTTAGAAAGCTTGAAAGTTATATGTGCTTGGGTATTTTCTAAACAGGAAGAAATCAAATGACAACAGTTTATTAGTTTTAATAGGTTTTATCTCATAAACCATGCAATTTCATTCTTCACCTCTGGCCGTTTGTACTTGGTCATTTTACCCAATGGCTATTTAAGAAGCTAAAAGGACTCAGTCTCTTCAGGTTATCTTCAAATCACTTAACATCAAGCCATTCACGTTTTCTGGTGGTTAAGCCTTCTTATTAATGCATAGATTTAAGGTTCTTAAATAGAACAAGTGCTACACTATTCAGGACACTGAGCTGAACCCCTAAATGATCAAGCTAGTATGGAAGCCATCAGTGGTACTTAACTCTTGTTCCAAATCATACTGACTTGCCACTTCAAATTCTCCTGAAGGCCCATTTTAGAGTGCAGGACCACACAACAGCTGCTTTGAACACAACTAAACAAAGGGACCATTCTTCTACTGAAGACATATGGTACAGTCAGATGTGTAAGTTCTGATGCACTGACAGTTTAGACCCTCCATATCATACTAAACTTCCTGACATCAAGCTTAGTATTTGCTATAAAAGTCCAGAATAGAGGAGACTCACATGTCGTTCCTACCACTGCTTTCTCACTACCTTCCACAAGGTCCCAAAAGCACAAGGATGACTGCTCCATCTGGTCTTCAACACTGCCAAGAAAAGCAGCAGCAGAACATATGTATCACGGATTAGTACAGTTTATACAATGTAATCCAGCATCAGTTAATACATTCAAGTATTAATTTTGCCCTTTTACACTTTGGAAATAAAACTAGAAATGTATGAGAGGTGATTAAATGCCCATTTAAGAAAACTAGAAATGTATGAGAGGTGATTAAATGCCCACTTAAGAATTTCAAGGATAAAAATTTTTCCCTAAAGTTACTAAATATTACAGGGGCTAGGAATGTGGCTTAGTGGTAGAGTGCTTGCTAGTCATGCATGAAGCTCTGGGTTCAATTCCTCAGTACCACATAAACAGGAAAAGTTAGAAGTGGCGTTGTGGCTCAAGTGGCTCAAGTGGTATTGTGGCTCAAGAGAGCTAGCTTTGAGCTAAAGAAGATCAGGGACAGTACCCAGGCCCTGAGTTCAAGCCCCAGGAATGGGGAAAAAAAATTACATACACCAAATCAAAGTATCAAGAACAAATCAAGAATTCAAAGCTGCACTATAGTATCATTGGTTATCAAGTATATGTCTCAAGGAAAGAAAATGCAATAGAAATATTAAGAGCTGCATTTAACTTTAAAGAGATCAACTTATTATTCAAATCATGTGTTGCCAACAGCTGTATCACTGAATCTACTGAAGTGAGGAGAAAGTAACAGAAATAAAAATACATAAAAATACAAATAATTAGCTGGATGCTCATGGCTCACACCTGTAATCCTAGCTCCTCAGGAGGCTGAGATCAGAAGATCACAGTTCAAAGCCAGCCCAGTCAGAAAAGTCTGTGAGGCTCTTATCTCCAATTAACAATCAGAAAACTGGAAGTGGTGCCGTGACTTAAAATGGTAGAGTGCTAACCTTGAGCAAAAGAGCTCAGGGACTGCAACCAGGACCCAAGCCCCATGACTATCATCACCACCACCACCACCAACAACAACAACAAAAAAAAAACTTTAAAATTTTTTTTATTTTATTTTTGTCAGTAATGGACCTGGACCTGGGTGCTGGGCACTGCCCGAGCTCTTCAGCCCAAGGCAAGCACTCTACCACTCTAGCCACAGCTCCACTTCCAGCTTTTTCTGTTTATGTGGTAGTGAGGAATCAAACCCAGGACCTCATACATGCAAGGCAAGCACTCTACCACTGAGCCATCTTCCCAGCCTGTTTTTTTTTAAGTATTTTTATTAGTGTATATTAATTGTACAAAGTACTGGGGTTTGAACTCAGGGCCTGAGCTTGCTAGGCAGACATTCCACTGTTAAGCCACACTTCTAGACCTGTTTTTTTTCCTGGGTATTTTTGACAGAATCTCAATTCTTGCCAAGTGCTAGATCTCTGTGAGGCTTCTCATCTTGTCTGGATAGTAAGTGGATGACACTGGGTCTAGCTCTTCTTTCAGAAGGGCTCTCTTGAACTTTCTGCCTGGTTTGGTCTTGAACCACTGACACACACACACACACACACACACACACGCACACGCACACGCACACGCACACGCACACACACACACACACACCCTAAAAAACAAGGTTAAAATGCTTTTTGTTGTAGTTCAAGAACTTACCTCAGACTTTCATTTTGTTAAAATGCTTTTTGTTCTTGAACCACTGACACACACACACACCCTAAAAAACAAGGTTAAAATGCTTTTTGTTGTAGTTCAAGAACTTACCTCAGACTTTCATTTCGTTCAGGGCAGGTCAGTTTTGAAAACTTAATGAGGTAGTCAAGTTCTTTTGAAGGCAAATACACTGCACCATTCAAGCCCCCTTTGAAGTCGTTTTGCACATGTTCCTGTGTCAAGTTCTGCAATACATATTGAACCTGGAGTATAGTTCGGAGCTTTTTCTTCTCAGCCTCAAGCTTTAGCATTTGTTCCCTTCTCTGGGCCTTTTTCTGTGCTTTCAGTAGCTGTTAAAACAAATGCAGGTTGACAACTGTCCACTACCCATATTAGCAATTCGTATGTTACAGAATTGAACCCCAGAAAGCTGAGAATAGATGGTAATTCTCACAACTATCAACCAGTTTATTGAACCTATCTCCTTTCCCAGCTAAGAAGTCACTGAGTAAAAAACTGATTTGTCTCAGATAACCAGAGCCAAAGGAATTCCAATATCTGACTCTCAACTCCAGCCTATACTTTATCACTATAATATAGCATGATAGGTATTACCATTATGTCCATACTGTCAACACAGAACATTTCCTTACTTATGTATGTTATTTTTGGTCTGTCAGGGGCTTGAACTTAGCCTGGGCACTGTCCCTGAGCTCTTCAGCTCAAGGCTTGCACTCTTCCACTTAAGCCAAAGAGCCACTTGCAGTTTTCTGGTGGTTAACTGGAGATAAGAGTCTCACAGACTTTCCTGCCTAGGCTGGCTTTGAACTGCGATCCTCAGATCTCAGCCTCCTGAGTAGCTAGGGTTACAGGTGTGAGCCACCAGCACCCAGCTGTAAAGATTTTTATGGTAACTGTTTTAAGAAAATTGCTTTAGGTTGGGTTCTAGTGGCTTGTGCCTATAATCTTAGCTACTCAGGCTGAGAACTGAGGACCACGTTTCAAAGCCAGCCTAGGCAGGAAAGTCTGTGAGTCTCTTATTTCCAATTAACCACCAAGAAATTGGAAGTAGAGCTGTGACACAAGTGGTAGAGCACTAGCCTTGAGCAAAAGAGCTCATGAATAGTACCCAAGGTCTGAGATCAAACCTTAGTACCAATACCCCCTCAAAAAGAGTTTTAGTTTAATTTGGAGGATTTTTTAAAAAATTACCAGGGGCTATAACTTGTGGAGGAGATGGGGAAAAACCAGTTGTTTAATGATACAGGTGGACCTGATGCAACAATGGGAAGTACTAGTTGTCATGTCCAAAACGAACTTTACAACGTCGGTGCGGGG